CCCTGTCACCCTGGAGACACCCCTGTCACCCTGTGGGACAGCTGGGGACAGCCCTGTCACCCTGTGGGACACCTTGGGGCACCTGGGGACACCTTGGGCTGCTTGGGGACGCCCCGGTAACACCTTGGGGACATCCCTGTCACCCTTGGGGACACCTTGGGGACAGCCCTGTCACCCTGGGGACATCTTGGGGACACCCCTGTCACCCTTGGGGACGCCCCGGTAACACCTTGGGGACATCCCTGTCACCCTTGGTCCTCCCTGGGTGTCGATGTCCCCAATCCCCTCAATGTCCCCATTAATGTCCCCAACCCCTGAGCCCACCAGTGTCCCCCATGTCCCCAACGTCCCCAATGTCCCCGCTGTCCCCAATGTCCCCAATATCCCCAACGTCCCCAATGTCCCCAACGTCCCCACTGTCCCCGCTGTCCCCAGACTCGGAGCTGCAGGTGGCCCTCATCGCGCTCTTCTCGGAGCTCCTCTACCGCTTCCCCAACCTGGTGGTGGCCCAGGTGACGCGGGACAGCGTGCAGGCGGCCATCGCCAACGGCATCACCGCCGAGCAGGTGACAGTGGGACATGGGGACATCATTGGGGACATGGGGACATGGGGACATTGGGGACATCATTGGGGACATGGGGACATCACTGAGGACATTGGGGACACTGGGGACATCACTGGGGACAGTGGGGACATGGGGACATCACTGGGGACATGGGGACATCATTGGGGACACTGGGGACACTGGGGACAGCGTGCAGGCGGCCATCGCCAACGGCATCACCGCCGAGCAGGTGACATGGGGACATGGGGACATCATTGGGGAAAGTGGGGACAGTGGGGACATCACTGGGGACATTGGGGACATTGGGGACATTTGGGACACTGGGGACAGCGTGCAGGCGGCCATCGCCAACGGCATCACCGCCGAGCAGGTGACAGTGGGGTTTGGGGACATCACTGGGGACAGTGGGGACACTGGGGACATCACTGGGGACAGTGGGGACATCATTGGGGACATTGGGACATCACTGGGGACATTGGGGACATGGGGACATCACTGGGGACAGTGGGGACATCACTGGGGACACTGGGGACATCATCATTGGGGACATTGGGGACACTGGGGACATTATTGGGGACACTGGGGACACTGGGGACATTGGGGACATCACTGGGGACATGGGGACACTGGGGACATTGGGGACACTGGGGACATTGGGGACATCATCACTGGGGACATTGGGTATGGGGACACTGGGGACATCACTGGGGACATTGGGGACATCATTGGGGACACTGGGGACATTGGGGACACTGGGTATGGGGACACTGGGGACATCATTGGGGACACTGGGGACATCATTGGGGACACTGGGTATGGGGACACTGGGCACATTTGGGGACACCGGTGACAGCGGTGGCGCCCTCCCCGCAGATCATTCACTTCCTGCGCACCCGCGCCCACCCCGTGATGGCCAAACAGGTGAGGGGGGCTGGGCGGGGTCCCCAAATCCCTTATGGGGGTCCCCAATCCCTTATGGGGTCCCCAAATCCTTATGGGGTCCCCAATCCCTTATGGGGTCCCCAAATCCTTATGGGGGGTCCCCAATGCCTTATGGGGTCCCCAAATCCTTATGGGGGGTCCCCAATCCCTTATGGGGTCCCCAAATCCTTATGGGGGGTCCCCAAATCCTTATGGGGTCCCCAAATCCTTATGGGGTCCCCAATCCCTTATGGGGGGTCCCCAAATCCCTTATGGGGTCCCCAAATCTCTTATGGAGGGATCCCAAAATGTCCCTGGTCTGTGTCCCTGTCCCTGTCCCATCCCCCTGTCCCCATCCCCATGTCCCCGTGTCCCTGTCCCCATGTCCCTGTCCATGTCCCATCCCCGTGTCCCTGTGTCCCTGTCCCCTGTCCTGTGTCCCCATCCCCGTGTCCCTGTCCCATCCCCCTGTCCCCATCCCCATGTCCCTGTCCCATCCTCATGTCCCATCCCCATGTCCCCAT